GAAGGAATGGATGGATACTCAGGTTAGAAGCCTCAAGTCCAGAGCTAGTGAGTTGCTGATGTTACAGCTGTCTGGTCTCAACGTTTAATACCTTTTCCCAGTTTAGCGTTCTTCTTAACAATTTATTAAGGAAATTTTTTTTGTCAAAGTGTTACACATCCGCAGTTAAGAGTGAGCTAGTTCTAGGAGGTTGGATGAGATAAACAGCCTTCCTTAGCTTCCCCACTCTCTTTTCCCTTTTCCTGAAGGCCAGTGTAATTCTTTGAACTCCTTTAGCCAATTAAAAAAATATATATATATTACCTCCCTATATCTGAAGAGCATATTTGAGGAGTGCATACTCGCATGCTTGTATGCTGATTTTTTTTTTTAGTTTCAAGTATATCTACTGATTTCCTGTTGTGAAAAGATACAGAAGGTAGGGATTAGCTCTCTCTTCTCCCCTCCCACATTCTAACTTCCCCATCCTTCCAAGATAATTTTACTGCAGTTGTGGTTAAATCAATATTTAGTTTTATCATTATGACCCTGTATGCTATTTATATGTTAAGTGGTGAATTACAAATACTTTTCCTAAACAACTTGGTTTTTCTTGGAAGTGTATCACTTTTTACAAAAATTTTGTTTGTTTGGGTAATCTCTACACCCAACATGGGGCTTGAACTCTGACCCTGAGATCAAGCATCACATGCTCCACCGACTGAGCCAGCCAGGCGCCCCATTACTTTTTAAAAAAAATATTAATCACCACTTTAGCCTCAGACTTTTAGTCAGTTACATGTTTAGGTATTCCATCAGCTTTATCTTTTTGAAGAACTCTTTCCCTGCTCCAGTCTGCCCTGTTTGCCTTCCCTGGTGGGAGCACAGTTGTCTCCCGGGATCCTGGCGATTCTTCCTGCCTTTCTCTGTTGTCTTCTCTGTGGTAGTGGAGCACAGTCTCTCTCCTCAGCGTCTTCTCCCAATAAGTTGTGTAGGAGGTAAATCTTTTGACTTTGTGTTTCTTTCTGCATACTTCTTGATTGATGGTTGGAAATCATTTTCCTTCTGTATTAGTCTATTATTTTCTGTGCCCTTTTAAATATTAGTATTCTGTTGTTTGTTTAGTGGATGTGTTATCTTTCTGAGGATATCAATTATTATTTTTACATGTTCTTTTTTTTTTTGTAATGCTTCCTCCAGCTTGTATTTTTCTATTTGTTTTGCCCTTGACTTTTCATGATAGTGGCTTTCCTGAGATATCTGGTGATCTTTGGTTTTCCTTCAATTTAAAAGTCAGGGATACGTACCCACAGCACACAAAGTTGAATTATATGAAATTACCATCTTTCCCAGCTTTCTCTGCTGTCTGTGAACATCCTTGGCTCTCAGATCTTCATTTCTACATTACATTCTCCACTAAAAGAACCAGGCCTCCTTGGAAAAATGGATGATTTCAGAGCTGGGGCAGATAATGTTCAAGATGAATCTGGAACATGTTGTTATGCCAGAAAATAAGGAAGTGCTCAAAAAGTATGAAAAGCACACAGGAGTCTGCTTGAAGGGACTCTCACTGGCTGAATGTGGGACAGCTTGAGCATCAGAGTGGATAATGGCATTAATAAATAAAAATCTTTGAGTCCATACTGTTAAGGAATTAAAGGATGAGTGGGGAGAAGGGTGCATACCGTACTAAAGTTAGAATGTCATCTAATGGAGGAAGGAACAGTAGACTTAAAAAAAACCCATGACTTCATAACCATCAGAGAACAGTTGATTCAGACAAAAACTGTCAGTGGGTAGTACAACTACTGAGTGAATGTTTTAAGAACATAATCTCAAAATATCTTCCCACAGATTACTTACTCCTTGATTACTTGGTTATTTTACGGTGGAGAAATATAGCACATATCATCTTAACCAGGTGATCGAAATGTGCTCGCCAATAATAGGACAAATGGACGTCCTCTTTATGTGATACTCTAGGAACAGCAAAACTTCATTTATTCCTGCTGGAAGTGCATACGCTGTATCCCTCAAAAATGTTAGTGAAATGAAAGACAAAGAAATGATGCAGAACTGTTTCAGACAGAAGGGAATGAAGGAGATAGGACATAGAATCCTGGATGAAGGTGAGGGAGGATTGCCATGAAGGACATTATAGAACATTTGGCAGAATTGGAATATGAATTATTTAATCCATAGTCAGCAAGTACTGTGTTAAATTCCTGACTTTGACATGTGTACTGTGGTTGTGTGAATTAGTGTCCTTGTTTTTAGGAAATACACAGTTAACTGTTTGGCGGGAAGGTCAGTGATCTGCAGTAACTCTCAAATGTTTGGGGTGTTTGTGGAGAGGGGGATACTCAAGCAAAAGTGACACAGTGATCCGTTGCGAGTCCAGGGGAAGGCTTAGTGGAAGTTTCTTGTACTCCTCTTGGAGCTGTTCAGCAAATTTGTGATGAAAAAAAAAATACTAGTTTTTAAAAGTGGTAGATTGGAGGCTCCCATCATGGGAGGGGCTCATTGGCTATGAACTTCCCAGCACAGTGACTAGCAGTGCTTCTTTGGTTGGGAAGTCCCCAGTGTCAGTATTTTCAGGTTCTTTTTTCTCAAGGTCAGTTAGCTCACTCTGAAGACATTCTTGTTTTCAGCCTGGCTGGGAATGTCAGAGCCCATAGGAGAATCTGGCTGGAGCTGGGGTGGGCAGTGGGGTGTGCCTGTGTCTCAGCATTTTTTCTGCAGTTCACCCAGTCCCTCTGTCGTCGGGGTGGCAGACTTCCCCAGCTGTGCCGGCTGGGCTCTCCCAGTGCAGAGGCCCGCTTTCACGGCTCGCCGTCCTGTCTTCAGTCGGGCCGGCAGGGGTGGGAGAGGGTGAGGATATTTAGGGATCTAAGTGTTCAGTGAATGACTTTTTCAGCCAGTACTCCTTTTGCTCCCTTCCAGCACCTTTCCAATTTTGTTGCCTTCTCCTGGTCCTTGTGGATTGTGTCTGTAAAAACAACGCAAAACAACCCAAATAGTCTTTTTACTGTAGATCTAGAGGCATTTCAGTGTGTATTCAATATACACTCTTTACTCAGTAGTCCCACTACTGCATTCAGACACTGTTCCATTCTGTTTCCCATTGTTTGGTCTTGATTCTCATATTCTCACACTTTAGAATTACCATATTTCTATCTATCTATCTATTCGTTTGTTCATTCATTCATTCATTCATTCATTCATTCATTCATTCATTCATTCGAGACAGAGAGCATGAGAGGGAGGAGGGTCAGAGGGAGAAGCAGGCTCCCAAGGAGCAGGGAGCCCGATGCGGGACTCGATCCCAGGACTCTGGGATCATGACCTGAGCCGAAGGCAGACGCTTAACCATCTGAGCCACCCAGGCGCCCTAGAATTACCATATTTCTTACCATCAGTATTATAGACCCACTCTTTTCCCTTATTAATCTAAGTGAAAAAGAGTATGAGCAATTATACAGAGTCCCTATTCCAGAAAAGTGGATTAAGTCTCAGCATACTTGTTACTATTTAGTAAGTACCCAGGTTCATAAGGCTGTGAGTACATTTAATAACTGTTTTTTCTTTTTGCTTCCCTGGATGGGTGTGTGCGGCATGGTGAGGCAGGCAGTTGGTCCAACTCTGCTGGGAGCCTGTGACCTGCCTACAAGTGGGGGCAGTGGGTGGTCTTGGCAACTAGAAGAAACAATTGCAGATCATCTTTGAGGGTCCTACAACCACTCAAATTTAAATGCTAAATTGTGTGTGTATGTGCACAAGTGTGCATTTTGTGAAACATGTAAATTCATCAGATTCTTAAAAGGATCTGGAACCCTGAGCACACGGAACGGTTGGAATGGGGCTAGAATTACCTGCAGCATTTAGTGATGGGTCTGAGGGCTCTGGCAGCACACGGTGGTGGCACATGGTTTCTTGTCATTTAAAGCAAAAATTTAAATGATCAATTACACTTTTTCAAGTGTATGTTCAGAAAGCATTTGGTAAAGTGTTTAGAATTAAATCATCTTTTCTTTTTTTCTTTTAAAGATTTTATTTATTTATTTGAGACAGAGAGAATGAGGGAGAACACATGAGAGGGGATAGGGTCAGAGGGCAAAGCAGACTCCCTGCCGAGCAGGGAGCCCGATGCGGGACTCGATCCAGGGACTCCAGGATCATGACCTGAGCTGAAGGCAGTCGCTTAACCAACTGAGCCACCCAGGCGCCCTAAATCATCTTTTCTTAACCTGGGTTTGTTACTGTTTTGGTTGATTCATTTTATTCTTTTAACAAGCATTCGGCATTGTTTCTATTTATTACCTTATTTGACGGAAAACACTGACTTCAGTGTAGTGAGTTTTATGGAAGAAATGCATCCAGTGAACAGCATATGTTTTGAGATGCCTTGTAGACTGCATTCTTACAGGATTTCTAATTAGCATATTGTCTATAGTTTGAGACTTTTTTTGCAGTGTTATCAGTGAAGTGCCTTGGAAGATGGTTTATAGTCCTTTAATGTGTAGCGTTTGATTAATTGACTCATTAGAGACAGAATTTGGCTGTGGTTAGTACTTCAGTGACCTCAATATTCTGCTTACATTTCCTGGTGAAAGTTTTGGTATTTAGAGGTATTACATGGGGCTACTTGGCTACTTTTCAAATTTGATTTAGTATTTTAAAGTATGGTGCCATTACAGTCAGCTCTGTGTGGGATAAGAATATCATTGATGTTTTTATAAGATAAAGACAAGAATATGTATGTTTTTCTTATTCACTGATAGTGCTATTATGGTGTCTCTATTTCTGGGTTATTATTTAGTGTAGGATAAAAGCTGAGGTAGAGGATGACCGTGCCTTTCTTTCCTTTTTTCACATGGAAAAAATTTCAGTTAACTAGAACTTTTCAATCTTCTGAGATGCAGTTCTATGTGAATCAGGACCCTCAACCCGTATCTTTAATGGCAGCTGTCATCAGACCAAAACAGAACATGCTGTGAACATATGCTCTTTTTTCTTTATAGGAGAGCTTCTGTTTTGCTTCCACATCCTACTTTACTCCGGCTAATCTGCTAATGCAGTGAATTGGAAGACAACTGTTACCAGGATAACCTGTAATGGGCAAGGAGCCACAGAGAAGAAAACATTTCTTTTAATTTTTAAACTTGGTTGAAAGGTAAGACCATTAAGAGTATCAGGAGTTTCATCAAGGAAAGCAATGTTCTGTTGTGAGACCCTGGAGTCTAGGTCGACCAGGGCTAGACCAGGTACAGTATGGTTCTGGGGCACTGTCGTATTTTTAGGAAGTTAAATAACAGCCTCTGTAGTTTGCTCTGGCATGTTTTGGAATCTGCATCACCCAATCTGTGGGATTCTTCATTTCCTAGGGGGGTTGATCTGGGTCCCAAGGATAGCCAGGCCTAGCAAGCTGAAGGAGCACACAGAGAAAGGCTGCTCATGGAGACTCAGGTGCTGCTTCGAGGTCACCTAAAAGTGCATGTGTGCACAGGCGTGTGAGAGAGAGAGAGCTTGAGATTGTTTTGTTTTTGTTTTACACCAGCCAAAGGCCATCTCTGGCTTTTAGCCAACCATCTGACTCCTTTCGAGTCCTAATTGCTATCATTTTAGAGCTCTTCACTGAAACTTTCTCTTGAAGACCAGAGGTTGACTTTACATATTTGACAGTTGGCACTTCAGAAAGTGGCCCAATCGGGTCTTTGGGGGACAGGACACATTTTTAATCCATCTTCATCTGCTCCATTGTGTGTTGAGGAGAAGGTGGGCATAAACCACTTAATCATCTATGGTTCAGGCTTCATTATCTCAGGAGATACTCTAGTTATGGTGCTGTAGCAGGTCTCTGCTTCTCATCCCAGGGCAATTTTTCCTTCAGCCCCTCATGAATGACTCTCCTCCACCTTCCGACCTCCCTTTGTGCTTATAGAGTGAAGCTTTACCTCCTGGGGCCTTTTTTTTTCTTTTTTGGTCCTGCCATTGTTCCTTCTCTTTCCAGGGCTACATTCTAACCCTGTGGGTAAAGCCTCTTCCATTTCCCACCTGCCTGGCTGTGTGGAGAATTCAGCCCAAGTCGAGGGTTTAGGTTTGAGAAGGTCAGGACCATGTACTTAGAACTGTGGTCTGACCATCAGGCCCACTGATAATAAAGAAGGCAGTTTATGATGCACATGAACTGTTACTTTGCCTTTTTCATCAGTCGGTTTAGAGCTGAGGGTGACAGGACCCACAGAGACCTCCAGCTTTAATTCAGCTGATTATCTTAGAGGTTGGACATCTTTTTTATGTTTATTGGAGTGTTGTCTGTAAATTGTAACCCACTTTTCTATTGTGACACTAGAGTTCAAAGAATGATTTTTAAAGCTGTTTCTATAATGCCACACGTAGCCTATAAAAAATTGAGATATATAAAACATGTGAGTTTCAGGTGCACAACATAGTGATTCTACATTTGTTATATATTTTGAAATGATCACCACAGTAGGTCAAGTCGATACTCATCATCACATAGTTACATTTTTTTCTTGTAGTGGGAACTTTTTTTTTTTTTAAAGAGGAAGTGGGGAGGGGCAAAGGGAGAGGGAGAGAGAGAATCTTAAGCAGGTTCCATGCCCAGTGTAGAGCCTGACATGGGGCTTGATATCATAACCCTGAGATCCTGACCTGAGCCAAAGTCAAGAGTCAGGGGCATCTGGGTGTCTCAGTCAGTTCAGCACCCGCCTCTTGGTTTCACCTTGGATCATGATCTCGGGGTTGTGGGATTGAGCCCTGTATGGGGCTCCACGCTCAGCGGGAGGTCTGCTTGGGATTCTCCTCCTCCTCCTCCCACTCCCTCTGTTGTCGTTGGTTGGGGGCGTTCTCCCCCCCCCCCGCCAGCTCACATGCATGCCTGCACACACACACTCTCTCTCAAATAAATAAATAAAATCTTGTTTTTTTTTTTTTAAAAACAAAATCAAGAGTCAGATGCTTACCCGACTAAGCCACCCAGGCGCCCCTGTAATGGGAACTTTTAAGATCTCTCATAGCAACTTTCAAATATATAATTCAGTATTATTATTAACTATAGTCACAATGCTGTACATTACATTTCCTTTTTTTAAAGATTTTGTTTGTTTATTTGAGAGAGAGAACACAATCAGGGGGAGCAGCAGAGGCAGAAGCAGAAGCAGGCTCCATGCTGAGCAGGGAGCCTGGCATAGGGCTCAATCCCAGGACCCTGAGATCATGACCTGAGCCAAAGGCAGACGCTTAACCAACTGAGCCACCCAAGCACCCCCTACTTTATATCTTTAGTACTTTTTACATAATAGCTATCATTAATTGTTTAGTGGTAGAGCTAAAATCTCAGAGACATTTTTCAGGATAACATTTTTAGGACTTCTCTCTCTCTCTCTCTCTCTTTTTATTTTATTTTGTTTTTCTTTGCTGAAGAAGACTCTTAGCTGTGGCAAAGGAACAGTTCCTTACCATTAGCTGTATTCCTCCTGTTTCTTTTTTGACTTCCTCTGCTCATCAGATGGTGTCTGATGCCGGGTGAACTCTTAAGAAGTTACCCATTAGTCTCCAGGAGTCCTAGAATCAGTGGAGAAGGATTCCTGAAGAGGAGCAGCATTTTAAATATAGGGTCCTTTAGACCAGAGGTTGTCAAGGCCCAGATAGGAAATATTTTAGGTTTTGCAGACCAAGAAGCAAAAAAGAGGATATTATATAGGTATTTATATAACAAGAGAGCAAATATTCACAGATTTTATTGATGAAATTAAAAATATAAAAAATACTTGAATTCAGTATTCTGTAATACAGATCTGCTAATGAGAAGAATGGAATTCTTTTTCTAGGGGGATAACATTTCACCTAAATGGTGTTCATAGCCAGAGTTCCCCCTCTCAAATTCTGTTACAAATGTTCATCTAATCTACTAATGCTGATCTGTAATGAGATTTTACGTATTTCATCTTTGAAAATGTCTTTTTACACAGATAGGTGCTGCCACATTCTAGTATCAGTCTACAAGCATCTGTATTCATCATTGGAAGGCATTTATAGAATTCTTTTAGATTCTTCTCTTGGTGTTTGCCTTTTAGCGGGTCATTACATTGTAGATTAATTACTTCCAGTTGACGGTTAGGAAAATCCTCATTTGTATAGCTGTATGGATTTTGCAATAGGAAAATTTCCTTTACATTTGCATTAAAAATGCTTTTTAACGGTAGTTTGAGCTCAGAAAATGTGCCTACTGCAAATTTGTATGGGAACAGAGATCTCACTTCAATTTTAAGTTCCGATAGCATGGGAAGTGTATGAAGCAGCTTGAATTTATTATCCTAACAAAGTTAGTATTGAAATGACCTTACCACAGCAGAAGGCTTGCGGATCAGTGCTGGTTAGCCTTGCAGTTTTAGGTTGAATTCACTAAGAAACATCAAGACGTCAGCAAGGACCAATTTCCAGAGCCATTCAGCGTTCGGTGGTTGTGGTTGAGGGTTGTTCCTCTCATTCAGAAAAATTTCAGTCTTGGCCCTGGGCTCAAAAAGTTCCCAAAACATTAACCCTTGATAAGCCATTACGTAGCTTGCGTAAGAGAGTAAATAAAGTTCACTGTTGATATTGCTGGTTCAGTAACACATGAGGAATTTAAAAAACCTTTCGAAGGAGCTGCTGATGAAAATAAAAAGAACCATAAGCTTTGAACAGTACATTTTCACAAGTTTTGTAAAGTCCCATTAAGCCGTTTTTTGCTCTACACATAATTTTACCACCATCAGCTGTAACATGTCACACGGACTCTCCTGCACGGCTGTAGTGACTTCATCTTCACTCCGCGTCTCTGAAAACACTCGACCTGTGGCTGTTTGATGCGGGCTATTCATAAAGGCTCGTTTGTCATCATTTCAAATGCCTCGAACACCAGCTGAGCTGCATCGGCCGTGTCTGTGAACTCCTCAAGAATCCAAGGGAAAATTCACTGGCTTCCTCGGCGCTTGGCTAACAAGCTAAGCTACTTGGAGACCAGCTTGGCTTGAAGTTTCATTTTCATCTTTTATTTCTGTGAAGAAGTTCTCCTGTTAGGAGATGATCCAGTGAAAATGTTTAAATGTTTCTGATGCGAGCGTGCCTGTAAGTCGGGAGTACTGTGGCCACTGCGTGGCGTGGAGGTGGGCATGTGTGGTGCGGTCTCCCAGCCCTGGTGCGTGTGCTTGCGTGGGGACACGGCACCTTGCCGTCTCCTTCCGTGACACAAGCGTCCCCACCCCGCTGGGTCTTACAAGCACAACAGTCCAGTTTTTCTTTTCTTGTTTTGACATGTTGGGGATCCATGGATAATAATACAATAAAATGTCGCGGTTCGACACGTGGCCCTCAAGGCACCGTGGAGTTAACGACTGTGTCATTGGGTTCTGGAAGGCGTCCAGCAGAGCAGCAGTGCAGAGTGATGAGTGCGCCACCACATGTGGTTTCTGTCACCCTCAGCTCTGCTTTCGTCGTGTGACAGCCACCAGAGACTGGATGTAAATGTATGGTGTGGCTGTGTTTCAGGAAAACTCTTTGAATTTCAAAGAATTTTCACAAGTCATGGAATATCTTTCTTCTGACCGCCCCCCCCGCCCCCCCCCCCCCCCCCCCGTTAAAAATACGAAGATCATTCTTTGCTCAGGGGCTGTATAAAAATAGGTGGCAGACCAGATTTGACACCTTCATTACTGTAGCCCCAGGTGTCCCAGGGTTCTGGAGTTGGCTCACATGCCTATGGTAGAAAGAATGGGGTGAAAAAAAGGACCTAAATGTGAAGAGGTACCATTGTGGTTTTTGCTGTCGGTTGGTTGATTGGCTTGTTCTCTTTGCTTTTTTGTACACAGATTCTTAAGTGTATGCACCTACTTCCTATCTTTCCATATGACTGGGCAGGTTAGCTAATCTTTCACAATATCTTGATTTCAGACTGAGTCTACGTTTGTAGAGCCCTTATTAAGTGTGTCAGGGATTGAACTAAGTGCTCTTCTATTTTCTTTCCTTTCATAATATCTTACCATACTTGGGTACATAGTTTATGTAGGTGCATAGTTTAAAAAGCCAAACAGTACCACAAGATTTACAGCAAAAAATAACAATCATCTGCTCCATCTTTCCTATCCTTTGTCATCCTCATCCCTTAATTAA